CTAGCACTATTATATTGTCTTATAAATTGGAAAACAGAAGCTTTTCCTTCTTGCTAATTTTTGTACCAAGTGATCGTCGGGAGAATTAGATTTATTATAATAAAGTTTCTACTATAATATTATAATAATAATAATAATAATAATAATAAAACCAAGTAATTAAATTTGTATAGCCTAATACAGAAATTTTATATAATTTATATATAAAAAGTATATTTTGGGAGCATGTTTTAATCTAAGATATATTTTTAAAAACATGTTTAAATATTTTTTATACTTTTTATTATATATTATATCTGTTAATATATATATATATACTGTATATATTTTCAATATTAAAGTAATCTTTTTAGCTATATATATCTTTTTATTAAAAAATTTTATTTTAGAATACAATAAGTATACAACTACTAGCTATATATATGTCCTTTGGTTATTTATTTAAGTAGTCTGTACTAAGTTTTATACTAGCTACTATACTTACAATCTAACTAGAAAATTATCTATTTAAACTCTCTAATCTATAAATATAAATACAAATAGCCACTTATATAATTTTTAGTTATCTATTTAAGTAATTTACTTTAAGTTTTATACTAGCTACTATATCTACAACCCAACTAGAAAATTATTTATTTAAACCTTCTAATTGTATATTTAATTCTACCAAGTAAAATTTCTAATTCTTTTTTTATTCTTAATTATCTTAAAAATAGATTTGAAATTTCAATTATGCTTTAAAACTGCTTATTCTCAAGATAAACTTGTCAGAGTAGCTTTGTCTTATACAAAATATATACTAAAGTTAATCTCTTTATTTAGATTTATATATTTGAATATATACTATATCATGTGATATAATATAATATATTGTTTTTAAATCTGAATACAAATTTGAATTTAAATCTGAATTTATACTATAATAAAACCAAATATAAAAAATATATCTGGATTAAAATATTAATTCTAATAAATATCTAATCTTTGATAATCTATACTATAGCTTGATTTGTATACTCAGAAGTTATTCATCTCTACAATTATCTATTTTAGCTCTTGTAAGATTTGATATTTAGTTTCTAGTACTCACTTTCCATCACTTTCATACCCTGTATTTTTAGTTTCCTTAGTCTTCCAATTTAGATAGCCTGGCAGAGTTGGTCTCTTTAGGCTTTAGATGCTTTTTGGATCTTTTTCTTTTAGTATATACTTCCAGAATATATATCTTTTTTTTCTAATATGACTCTGGCAGTTTAATTAATAGATCCTTTCACCAAAAACCTTTTGTTACCCAATTCTGCCAGTTTTATAATTTAGTTTAAATCAGTTCCATGGCTTTATCAAAGATCCTCATTATTTCTTTACTTGGAATTTGCCAAGCTGGTTTCCGCTCTCAAAATTAGGCAATCTCTTCTTTTTATAAAATTCCGTTAAGAAAATATTCAATTTTTATGAAATTTTAAAAAAGTGTTCTTAATCTACTAATTTCGATTTGCTTAACCCTAGAATTTGAAATGTAGGTTGAAAACAATGTGGAGCTTAAAGTTTATAGTAAATTTATATATTTTTATTATAGTTTTTATTATGCGTGACATGTCCTCTGACTGTTAAAATGAATACTCAATTAAAAATGAATATTTGGTTACACGAAATTTACGAATAGTTAAGGATTAGAGTATTATTAGTTTTTTACACGGAATTCGTGAATATTCGAAATGAATAATCTAAGATTTTACTATTACGTGAACATCCATATAAAATTTGAATATTCATTCAATTTCATTCATGGATGGCAAAAACCAGTGAATATTCATTGAATAGTCATAATGGATATTCAACGCTACACTTGGGTATAAGGTGGCCATAATTCGTATAAAAATACTTGTTAAATTTGTAGAAATAGTTTGATTTAATACGTGTATTATAATTATCATTCAGTAATGAACAAAATTCAGAATAGTCAAGGTTAATAGACTTTATTTGAGGAAAAAAAAAAAAAAAGAAAAAAAAAATGCTTCAAGAATGTACACATATACATGATAATTTTAGAATAATATAAAGACAAGTACAAAAGATTCACAAAAACATGCGCTAAATATAATCAACAAAGCCATTGTTATCCCAGATTATCTAATATCTAATAGGTTACGAAATAATTTAAAGAGAATATAAATATACATCGGAAATTTGATCATATCAATATCAATCAACACAAAAAATTGATCTTATCAATCGTCTTGATTTCTTAGAAAATTTTCATAGTCTTCTCGCACACACTCTCCTCCCTTGCGGGGATCGAATGTATATTTATAAAAACTTCCGTCTGCACAAATTACTGAATAAAAAAATAAAATAAAATTAACATCAGAAACTTTTATATTAAATAATGAAATTAGAAACATTATTTACCTATTACGGAATTCCTTTCTTGTCCGAAACCACAAATGCACCGACAGTCTGCCATTACTTTAAAGTGAGCAAACGACCATTCGGAAGAGAAATATTTTGGAAGCAAGTCTCTCATGAAAGATAAGCTTTAAAGATAATAAAGATTAAGTATTTATTCCAAAGTAATTATACAATTAATAAGATGGATTAATTACCTAGATTGTCTGTTACCGCTCGGTGACGGGATCGTGTTGCTGTAATAGAACAAGACAAGTGCAAAATTAAAGCTGAATATTGGAAAAATGCTAAATAAACAAATATATTTACTTTACAACGACCTCTCCATAATAGGCAGCTCCGTTGTTCGGAGAATGGCTAGCGCCATTTCCAAGAATGGCGTCCAGATTAAAGATGTGTACTGTTCCTTTGTCAGAAGAAACGCATAATCGCGTCGAATCATGGTTAAATGCGATGCTATTATTATATAATGTAAGTAAATATCAGGTAGTTGCAATAGATAATTTAATTTATATTTAGTGCACACCTATAAATTTCAGCACGATCTACACCGCGTCGTAATTCGTTCAATAATTTTCCAGTAGCAGTATCAAAAACTCTTATTAGCGTACCCTAAATATTAGGAACATGAGCGAAGATTTAGTAACGTGCAAATGATGCAGATAAATAAAGAAATTAACATAAAAAAGTTGAGCAGACCTTTTCACTTGCACTCGCACATTTACTTCCATCGGCATTTATTGATAGGCAACCCAATTTTCCAGCATGTGCAGGAATAATACTGATGTTCGTGGTCATCACGGTTGTACTTCCGCTCGAATTATTAGATACACTCTGTCTTCTATCATGGACTGACGGAGGCTGTAAGTCATTATTACTACCAAACGATTGAGAACGTCTATGATGTGGAAAGGATGAAAAAGACGATGAGTTTGTAGGATAGGTAGTGTTGTCTCTAGTCACAGCCGTGGTAGTGTGGAAGGTATTGAGATCAACGATCTGAATGTGGCCTTTTTGTCGACCTGGAAACGCCAAAATGGCGTGGTTTTGTGACGACGATAGAGCAACCAAACCTATCGCATATTGGTAAAAAGATGACACATGGCGATCTTTTTAACAAAAATATATTGCATTGTATGGTGATGAAATTTAATATCACCTTTATCATTGTCTATTGTTTCAAAAGTGTGGAGCTTCTGTGGTTGCGCGCTTAACATATAGACAAATACTTTATTGGAAAGAACAACGACGATCCTAAAAAAAAAATAAAGTTTTAACATTTATCAGCTAAATATGAATTAAACAATAAAGTTCAATTTTTTTTGTTCAATATTGCAAGAGATTAACGGTTTGTAAGATTTAGTGCAAACCTATCCCTCCTCAGTTTTACATTCTTAACTTCACTTCGAAATTCCAGCCCTGCTATTTCCTTACTTTTCGAATCATCCCATAGGATAACTTTATTTGGTGGATACTTTGGATTTTTTCCACCACCTACAAGAGCGAGATAATTACAGCGAAATAACATTTCAACGATCGATACCCCACCGTCGTCAGAGTCTAAGACCAGCAATTATGAGAATGTTAAATAAGTACGTCTTCGATAAGATCTCGTAATTCTGATATAACACACTTGGTTACAAGTATTATTTAGAAATCCCGTGATGAGTTGACTTTTACCTTTACGCATTTTTTCTTTCAGGGGATCACAATTGTATATTCTGAACCCACTATCTAAACCAGCAGCAAAACAACCAAAGTCTTGATTGAAACCAGCATAAAGCAAGCCTGGAGCGTCAGCGGAAGAAGAAGAAGAAGTAGAAGGCCTTGTCAAATTCATTTTTATTTATGGGCGTTATGATTGAATAGAGATCAAATATAAAAGCACAGTTTCATGCGGAGTTTTAAGTTATAATAACCAAAATAATTTTTATATAAAAATTCGTTGGTTGTGCAGAGACTGCGAGCACAGCAGATAAGCTTCTGATTGGTTCATTTATTGATTAACTGCATTGCCAATTGTGATTAGAGAAATCTATCGCTGTCGTTATGAATAATTGATGTATTTTTTTTTTTTAGCGTTAGCACTTGCCTGGTCTTTATATTATTAAGTCAGCATGCTTTGTATGTACTGATGTATTTTCGTTATTTGTTACAAAAGTTCAGTCTATCATAATTTGTTACTAGTCACATGATTTTAAGTTACGATCTTATTTATTAGATTATCGTCATTGCCTACTTCTTCCATTTTTGTTACAGACTCTAGATTTCGAAAAAATTTTGGCCGAATATTCGAATGCTTATCGAGTTTTTTATCGCTGTTTTCGAAATGGTTGAAAATGACACCAACAAAAAAATTTTTTTTAATACTCGATTACATTGGCACAATAATCACATTGATCAAAGATCGATTCCAAATTACGTACAATAATTCAGTGTTGTTCACTGGAAGATCACAGGACTTAACTGGATGGAATCCCAGTGAAGATTTTTATCACTTGGAAATTCCAATAACTTCCAGTGGCTTCTGATTGGCCGATTCGAATCAATCACTGAGAATAGTGAGCAGAGATTAAAACGATACAAAATTTAAGCTCCGGATATCTACCAATTTACACGAACATTGCCGGATCACAAACAGGGCCATTTCTGATAACCAGAGTAACTTGGGTAATCCGGCATAGATCGTGCGATAATGTTAAAGACTTTGTTAACGAATTAAATTATTGTGAAATCGGAACTCTTTTTAAAAAAATATTAATCATATTATAATAATGAGATACACGAACAAAGAAAGAATCATTATGTTAGAATATCGAAGCAATGTCAAAAGATGAGTTGGAAAATAAACTGAATATACTGTATTGCATTGAATAGCTTTGGAAGCTCGATAATCGCCAATTAACTAATTTGTTGATTGTCCAATAATCACATTTAGATTAGCCAAATCAGGTGAATACGTACAGTAAGAAAATCGTATTTCTCACTGGGCAATAATTGTTAATGTAATTGGGTATTCGAGATATTTACAAAAAATCTTTTTTTCAACCATTTCGAAAAGTACCAAAAATAAAATTAATGATAATTTATATCAAGATGAACTTATATATTAATGTTGTGTCCCAGATGTTAACACAGGTTGAATCTCATAGGAAGACATTCATATGATTGGTTAATTTTTGTCGATCTACCCGTGATTGCCCGTGATAGTTGACCAATCAAATTACATAATTTTTTTAAAACGTTTATACTAAAAAACTAGAGTTGCACATGCGGGCGGCTGCGCCGCCCGATTTAAGTGGCTATGTATGTAGATGTGGAGATTAGTAATTATGACATTGATTAAAATTTTTTTGTTTATTTTTTAATTACGTATAGGGTATACAGTCAAACCTCTCTATAGTCACCTCCTATATAAGCACATTTTCTTTATAAGCTTGTTTTTTAAAAAACTATCTATTGTTAAATATAATAAATTTGACCTCTATAATTAGCACACTTCTCTATAATCACGCTTTTTTGTATCCCGTGGGTGTGACTATAGAGAGGTTTGACTGTATAAATTTGAAATTTTATTTTTATAAAGTAATCACTTTTTTTTTTTATGTATTATATATGTGAAACGAAAGTTAAATATATAGAATGGATTATATGTATTTATTTAGGTAGTTAAATTTTTTTTTTGTTAAAAAAAAATCCAAGCTTGGTCTATTTAATAGTAATGGTTCACGGGCTTTTTATTCTAAGCATTCATATTCTTTTATCATGGATTGGTTAGTTATAAATGCAGTATGATTTAATGATTGTATTTTTACTTGGTTCCATTTAGTGCAATAACTTAGTGCCACATAAGCTTGTCTAGGTGCAAATATTTGATCATCTAAATTTAATAAAGTGTAAGCCCTTGTGTTTTATAGATGGTTAAGGTGAATGTGTTTTGTATTGGAAATTGGGTATGGCTAGCAAGTATGCTATTTACAGTATGTTGAAATTACAAATAAATTTAGAAAATGAAATATTTATTATAGCTCTTTTTACACAGAAGCTAATATAGACAAGTTTTGAGTCTAGGTTAAGATCTGTAATGATATCTATAATACCATTTGCTATTCGATATTAGTATTAGAAGTTATTGAAAAACATAATTCTTGCACCTAGTTGGATTCTAATTGATTCAGGTAAATTTGGTTTGTTTTTAAAATTGTTGTCTTGAGTTATCATTGCATATTTGGTTGTTAACAATGTCGATACAATTTAAGATCATGAATTTGTTTTTTTGTATAGGAATCATAGTATATATTAGTCTATTAATTAGGTCTGTATTTTCCTTGTATCATACTATGTGTGTAGTGTTTAGAGTAGTGTTTAATTCAGATGATTGAAGAGTATTGTCTTTTTTTTGAGTTAATAGATGCCATGTTTTATTGTCAATTTTATTCATATGAATTTTCTGTAGTAGGTTAAAAAATTCTATGTCTTGATTTTGTCTTTGAGATTTATAAAAAAATAACAGATAAAAAAGTTTCTATATTGGAGATTGGTAAATCAAGGAACCTAAGACTAGAAGTAATTGTACTAAGTCACTGATTAAGATAATGTTTATATCTCTGAATAGATTATTGTTTTTGTATAAAAATTTGAAAAGTTCAAAGATATATATCAAAAGTTAGCCCAATATCATAAGGCTTTATCAATTATAAGAGTATCGATTTGAAGAAGAAAATTATTTAGTTTATTGTTATGAAATGCAAGGGTGTGAAATTTTTGTTCATTGGAAATAATTTATAGTATGGAATAAATAGTTGAGCCACCAATGTTTTGAGCAGCATTTCTGATTGGTGCTATTAATAAGTAGTTCTTGTTTGTTTTTTTTGAAATCTTCTATTAATAAATATATTATGTAGGATTTACCAGTGTCTGCTAGGCCTAGAGATCTTACTTGGGTCAAAAAATCGTGCCTTGGGTGAGTCAGATGCTGACCTGGGTTCTGATCTGGGTCAATGGGTTATGTAGAAAGTCAAAATTTCTTGCAAGTTGGTGTAATATTGTTATTAGTATAATACTATTTATTTTTAAAAATCAGTATATATTAGTATAAAGAAATATCTTGTACTTTAAAATTTTGTTATTTATATATATGTAGTAAGGTATTTGAAGAAGTTTAAACTTATATTGCCAAATATCTATGAATAAACTCAATGTTAAACAATAACATTCATTTTTAGAACATTTACATACTAAGTTTTTTTGTTATAGCCTAATTATTTTTCAAATTAGTATAATGATTGAATTCCAAGAATTCTATGATGCTATTGTAAAATCAATATAATATGCAGGCTCATAGAATTCTCAGGATTCAATTTTGTACTAATTTGAAAACAATGATAAAAATTTGAGAACACTGTTATCAAATTATTTTTAGAATTTTTTGTGCAGTATCTATATGCATAAAATAGTTTAAACTTTTGTTACTTATTATTATAGATTGAATTAGGATTAATTAGATAAGTATAAAGCATATGTGCATTATCTAAATCAGCTAAGGCTAAAAATTTTATAAGAATTTTCAAAGTTAGTATTATTGTTTTACTGAATTTGCGTAGAAAAGAATAATGTTAGACAAATACATACCCAAGTTAAGATTTTTAGTCACATGCATATAGAGATTGAATTAGTAAGTTTTTATTGTTTTTTATGCCCAAATTTTACTATTAAATATGGTATTTATTTGTAATCTATTGTTCAAGAAAGGATAATTAACAATATTACATTATCTTAGAATAATATATAATTATATATATATATATATTTACAGTATAAAAATCATATTAAATTGTTGTAACATTCTAATTTATTAAAAATAACAAAAGTACCAATTGACAATAATAAGCAATGAATATTTAGATAATATAGTTTTAGAGAATAGCAATATTAATTTGGATAGGTTGGAATCTGATAATATAGATTTTAATAAAGATTTATCTCAGTTTTTTACAATCCCACAAACTAGTGATCAACCTTTAATTAATCTCAGTCTTCCATATTCTCACAAACCAGCAATCAACCTTTAATTAATAAAGATTTATCTTAGTTATCTGCATTACCACAAACTGGTTTAGTCAAACAAAAAAAAATTAAAAGGCAGGGCAATAGTCCTGTTAAAGTGTTTTATAATATTATATTAATTAATAATACTGAATTTTGGGTTTGTTATTATAAAGCTTGTACTCCTAGAACAAAATACATAAAAGATGGTTCTACTTCTAATTTATAGTGCCATTTGAAAAATAAATATTATATATCACAAGCTATAGTGGAAGGTGGTCAAGTGAAAGTTGTAGTAAAAAATAATAGTTGTGAATTTTGTATGATTTCCAAATCATCTCAAACAATACTAACACAAGCATTTAACAAAACAAAAAAATATATATTTAGTAACTCTAAACAAAAAAAACTTGACAATAACATAGTAGCTTTTATTATTGAGGAGCTTCAACCATTCTCAATTACTCAATTACAGGCACTTAA